GGATACAATGTTAACACTCCAATGAAGCTCTATTGTGACAATCAGGCTGCAGTTCATATTTCTTCTAATCCGRTGTTTCATGAAAGAACCAAGCACGTAGAGGTTGACTGTCACTTTGTGAGAGAAAAGGTGTTGAATGGAGTGATAAGCACTGCATATGTTAATACAAGGAACCAATGGGCAGACTTATTTACAAAAGGGTGTTGAGTCGGGGAAGAGTGGACTACATATGTAACAAGCTGGGATTATATGATATATATTCACTAGCTTGAGGGGAAGTGTTAGTGTAGGGGTATTTCCGTCTTTATACTTATGTTGAGGTTGTTGATCTGTAATATTATATTAGAACTAGTGTCCATCACTTAAGTAAGGGCACATGTGTCTTTTCCATTATGTTAGTAATATAAAACATGTCTAGCCGAATGGGAGAGGTTATTTTTTCTCTCATTCGAACCAGACTTTTCTTCTCTCATTTTCTCCTCTTTTCTCTCTCTTTCTTTCTTCTTTCTTCTTCTCTCTTCTTGGCTGTTATCAGACTAACAGAACTCAAGGGCAGGCTGAATCATAATAGTACTCTTAAGTGATGCTGCTTCACGATAGAGGGTGGACGATGTATGTGATTATAATATGTTCAAAACATACAAGATATTTCTAAAAACTAGGTTTGAGGATAGACTTTCTTTGCTTTTCTTCTGAATTGATATTTCATTCTTGATACATTGTACATTGGTTGAAGAAGCAAGTGCCTTTGAAACGTAGGTCTAACCAACTAGACATTGTATCATCCCCTCTATACAACCCAACTAAAGGAAAAAAAGAATGCTTGACTTCCAAAATATTACTGTATGGATCTAAAAAGTAGGTAATAGATGAAGGTTAAAATGTTTACTATGATAAAGATTCATTTCATTTCAACTCTTGAACTTCTGTGATATTGAACTTCTTGCCGTAATGTTTCCATGTGAAATCTTTGTTTCATGCTTTCTTTCGTAATTTTTCTTTGAAAAGATCCTTTCACTCATTTCAAGAGATAAGAACTTTTATTATATGATGAGAAACTATTTTTCACTTATTGACTTCTTGATGAAGCTAATGGGTATGCAAGGAACAATATCTATAAGATGATTTTAATCAATTTGTTATTTTATATGGATATTTTGAAATTGTGCTTGATCACTCAGTTCGATTTACTTTCTCAATTCATAAGAGCTTATTTCTCCTTGTAAGGATGCTATAAACATCTGACTATATATAATATATCATCATCGTCTTGAGATCAAATTCAACATTAAACTGGCATTTATGCCCACTAGTTTGGAGGAACTTATCTGGTGGTGCATTAAAAAATATCCTTGAGTGAGGCTATTACATTTTATAAATAAATTTATAAGTGCCTTGAGAGTTTGAACAACATAAGACATTCAAGTAAGCACGAGAGGAGAGTTCATTTTTGTTTCATTTTTCAGTTTTTTTTATATGATTACTTGCACATCATGAACTACCAATGGAATTTTGGAATTCTTATTTGTTTCTGTATCTTCTTTGCAGCAAATCCATTCGCTTATCATGTCGCTGAATTTTACCGGAATTGAGATTAAGACAGCACATTCTCTGGATTCTTGGAATGGAGGTGTTATTGTGATGGTCTCAGGTTCTGTGCAAACTAAGGATTTCAATGGCAAGAGGAAATTTATGCAGACATTTTTCCTTGCTCCTCAGGAGAAAGGATACTTTGTTCTCAATGATATCTTTCACTTCCTTGATGAGGAACCCATTCACCAGCAACCGGCACCTATATTAGCACAAAATGCTTTTGACTCCACAGTGAACGTGCCTAGTTCTCATCCTGAGCCAGGTACCAATGTAATTTCTAACAATTATGAATGGATTCAGTTATGGAATTTTAAGCAGGAGCTGGATAGCTGATGCCAAATGGTTGGGAGTAGGCTGTGAGTTGATAATTATGCCTATCAGGGAACTATTTAATAGCCTACCTGTAGTTGTCAATTAATACATGCTCATCAGACATTTCTGTTAGATTGTTTGTCTAGATGATTTTATTTCTTTCGCTCTTGAAAGCCATTTTGAGGGATGTACGTGCAATTCTTAACTGTCCACTAGATAGGCACCCTTGGGATTTGTCATATGTTTAGTGGCAGGCCATGTTGGCTCAAAATCTTGTCATGTGTTGTACTTCTCAAACACCATGCTAAGAGATGAGGTGCAACTTTCCATCAGATTGGCACCCTTTGGATTTGGCATGTGTTTTCGTGCCAGTCCATGCTGGCTCTATATCCTTGCATATGTTGCACTCTTTTCCTAGTGCCAGTCTATGTTATCTCTATATCGAGGATGTAACTTGGTAGTTGAAGTTGTGATGTTGTGAACATATGACGTGCTTTTGGGCAGCTACATAATCTCTCACTGGATTGTTGGTATCTTTGCTATAGGGCTTGTCTAGCAGACCTTTCTATTGTATTTTCTCTATTTACGTTTTCATATAAAAAGATAGTATAGAGGACAGCTCTTCTTGTTATTGTAACTAAGGGCCTGTTCTTTTGTACTTAAGTCTGACATTGAAACCGTAATGATTACTTTAAGAGGTGCATCGGAGTTAGTGAATTTTTCTTGGTGTTCATACCTGAATGCAGGTAATGCCATTTTGAAATCTGAATGTTTGGTTTTAAAAAATGACAATTGGCAGTTTTAGCCCTGGATATGGGAGTTTGTTTAACTATTTAAGAAATTAATTAAATGCTATAAAATTATTAATAAATAAAGAAATTGATAAAAATTATAAATAACTAAGTGATTTTTAAAGAAATGAGCATTTAATAATCAATTAATTAATTAAGTAATTGATTAAATAATTATTCTAATAAATACATATCTAGAATTTATAATTAAATAATTCATTAATAAACAATTAATTGATTATTAAAAATAATTGAATAATTGAGCATTTGATAACTAGTTAAATAATAATTAAAAATTTTAATTATTTTCTTATTATTTTTAATGTTTTATTAATTATTATATTATTGTTTTTATTAATATTTTATTTATATTTCTAATTATTATTATTATTAATATTATTCCATGTCAGGCCCTTGAGTTTTTGAAATGTAGAGGATGGACGAAGCATTTTGGGGTATTTTTGGAAAACAAAACAAGAATCTCTACTACTAGTACATTGGAGTTGGTGAAATAAGGCTGAAGCAAAATTTTCAACTGAATGCTTTGAAATGCTTGTATGTAGCACTTTCAGCATTAACCATTAGGCTCTGTTTGGGAAGGGTCAGTGATTTAAAAGGCGCGCCTAGGCGTACAGGTGAGGCACATTTCAGGGTATGCACCTCGTCTAGGTCCTAGGCGCATCCCTTTCAAAAGGCGCACGCCTGGTGTGCCTGATACGCCTTGTGCCTCAGCCTAGGCGTGCACCTTTTGAAAATTTGGCTCTTTTTTGCTTTTTTTTGAACATAACGGCTGGGCCAGGGGCTCCACCTTCGGACCCCTGTGCCATGCCCCTCAAGGCAAGCCCAATTTGGTAATGTTGTTCATTCATTCATCCTAATAAAATGTCTTCTTAAAAAACAAATAAAACTATAAAATCATTATTTTTTGTGTGAAAACTAAGAATTTAAGATCTAACGTGGGCTTGTTTGGGCTTGCCTCRAGGGGCGTGGCACAAAGCCAGCTCGTAGAATCAGGAATGCAATATGTTTCACATTACATTAGCTATGTGAAGTACTGCAATTGAGTGAAAAAAGAAATTAGAGGTTTTATATGGTTGAAAATGTTTTATATGTTTGATTTTATTTTTAAATTCTCATTTGAATATGCTTTACATCTTATGTTTTATGTATTTTAATTTTAGATAATAGGTTTTTTAAAACATTATTTTAAAATTTTAGTTTATATTTTTTATTAACATTATGTTTAATATTTTTAATTTTTTTGAAACTTTTGGCATTTTTTGATTTTTTTTAATTTTTAGCATTTTTTTATTTTTGCGCCTTGCATAAAAAAGGCGCGTGCCTCGCCTTGCGCCTCAGGCGCAAATTGACCCCTGCGCCTTTTTTGCGCCTTGCGCTTTTAAAACACTGGGAAGGGTGCAGAAAAGTTTGGTTCATAAAAATGCAAAGTTGGTTTAGTTTTGCAATGATAATTTTGTATCTTTGCCAAATGATTTAGTTGTGATGGGTAAGAAAATGAATTCTACGACTGGAATCCACCTTTTTTACATTGACCAACTTTGACTACAAAAGTTTGCATCCATTTTTTTTGGGTGCCAACTTTTCTCCCATTTTGAATGCAAACATGTCTTGGAATTCGTGATTGTTGTCATTTTCAATACACAAATGCATTCTTATCAAATGCCTGCACAACTGAACCTAAGTGCATATATGCATTGAGCTGGTGCTTGCACTCTTCCCAAATGGAGCCTTAAGCGTTATCAAACAGGGAATAAATAATCCAAGTACACCATTATCTAACCCTTGTCCCAACCATATGGATCAACCATGAATCCTGTGTTGCCATTCCATTCTGTTCAATGTCATATCCATTGTTAAATTAATGAGGGGACGCCCTAGTATGATCATGAAATCCTTTCGGAGAGTTAACTAACCCAAGTACCGTAACTGGTAATTTTACCAGTGTACGAGATTCTTATTGGGACCTATGAGTTGGTTTCTCACTGGGGAATCCTAAACTGCTTGTGTATCATATTTGTCAATTTATGTTTATTTGGTTTCTGTGCTTTGGTGATTACTTTGTTATTTTGTGCTTATGGTGAAAATATCTAAGTAATCTGAAGCTACTTGTTTCTGAATTTCAGCATGAGTTTTTGCTTATTTCTATCCTTCAACAGTTACTGTTTGTGGTTTTCTGACTATTGTGAAAATATCTTTAGTTGCTTCAGATTACATTCTGGGCGGAGATATTCAGGCCACAGAATTTGTGACTCCAGTGCATGTGGAAGAAAATGAACCCGTAGATAATTACAATCTCCAAGAGGAACAGCAGCAGCAAGTCTTAGAGGTGGAAAATCGAGTGGATGAAACTCAGGTGGAAGAGCCTACTGCTTCTTTTCAAAGTGCAATAAACTCTGTGCGAGACCCTCCTACTGCCCCAATTGAGGAACCTGTTGGAGAACCCCCTAAGCAAACTTATGCTTCTATTGTATGCACAATTCTTACCAGTGCTATTCAAAGTGCTTTCTATGTTCTCTTTGTTTCTTTGAGATATATATTTTCTGGCTCACTATTTTTTCTGCTTTGGTTCTTAAATGTTCTACCTGGAAGCTACGAATTGCTAGAGGTCAATCTGCATCATCTGTAGCTCCTCAACCATCTTTGAACAAGAGCACACCAACTACTTCAGAGTGGCTTCAAACACCGCAACCTACTTTTCAGCAGTCAAATACTGCTTCATCTATTGTGCCCGAAAGATCTGGTGCAGAAGCAGCAGAGGAAGTTACAACACCAGAAGAAGAAGGTTTAATGCCCCACCCATTCTCCCATCATATTTAATGTTTCTTTGTCATTATTTCATGGTGATGACGGTTGACAGGTCTTAGGTCAAAGTTTGTTTTTTAACTTGTATACGTTAGCAAGAATCTTCTTTTTTTATTTGTTTTGGAATGATATAATATTTTTGTATGTGATATTTAGTAATTAGTACTGGAACTATACATTGTGAAAGTCATTGTTTTCATCCTCTCTTTCTAGTAACTTGGTTTTATGACCAAAATTTGTTTTTTGTTAATTTCAAAACTTTTCTGGAAGTTGGTATCCTTTTCATCTCTTTTTAATTTTCTTTTCTGTCACATGTACACCTTTTCTTGGAAACTTGATTTCTATACTTGTTCTTTTGTGGAAATGTTTTGGTTTGTTGCAATTAAGTATGTAAAAGTTCTTCCTTTTTCCATATTGAATAGTAACATCATATTGATCCTTGGTCATCTATCATGAAATGTTTCAGGTGAATTAAGATCAGTCTATGTGAGAAACTTGCCCCCTACTGTTTCTGTTTCTGATATTGAGCAGGAGTTTAAGAACTTTGGCAGAATCAAACCCGATGGTGTGGCCATCAGGCACCGGAAGGTCTGTACTATTTTCTGCCCTTCTCAAAACTCACCTTGAGGGAATGAAATTAATATTTACTGTCTCCAAATGCTTCTGTTTGATGTACAGGATGTTGGCATTTGCTATGCTTTTGTTGAATTTGAAGATATTGCTGGTGTTCAAAATGCAATTCAGGTCAGAAAATTCTCTTTGTTTACACTGTATGCCATATTATTAAAATATGTGGTTGCTTTTTTATTTATAAGGTTTTCCAGCTATTATTCCATCATACTTTTAAATGCTATGAAATATGCCAACTGCCAATTTCCTATTTCTTCTGAAACTGACTTCTTTTTTTCCTGCTCTTATCAAGATAGTTGATTTTATAGTATCATCCTCATGTGTCAAGGTGGATATTTTAATTTAGTATCATTTTCATGTACCTTTGATTTATCTGTAGGCATCTCCAATACAATTGTGTGGGCGGCAAGTACACATTGAGGAACGGAGAGCTAGCAGCTCTGGTCTATCTCGAGGAGGAAGTATGTATCTTTATCCTGTGCTGATCTATTGTTAAGATGTATGGTAAATAATTGCTATATTGAGCTATGGAATGATGAAAATATAATTGTACAATAGTTATAGTTGCCAGAATTGCATCAAAGAATCTGGGCAGTCCAAGCAAAGTGTATTGAGCTTGGCCTATGTATATCTCCCCCACTTTTGTGGCCATAGCGACTATGATGGTGCAGAAGAGAGTGATGATCAATGGGGATTTCTCACACCTCTGTTTTTTAAGTAATGTTAGCGGATGTAGGGGGATCTCATGGGTTGTATAGGCATTTGGTTATGCCTACTTGCCTTTCTCTAACCCAGGGATGAATCTCTGGAATCCTATGGTTCATATATTGTGGTCTTTCTGTATTGCCTTAAAGTTGTCCAACAGCATCTGTCTTAACGTGTTTTAGTCCTGGTGGATATTCATGTTGGGGCTAAGTGATATTGTATTCCATTGGAACCTTTTATTGCATCATATGTGGGCCTTGTTCTCTGTCACCTTACTAATCATGCCATGCCCATGTCTTGTGCTGTTGTGCATATTTCCTGGAGTCAATGTTTTCCAGGCAACCCATTTTTGTCCATCTCTTTGAGCCTCAAAAATCAACTACCTACAAATGGTTGTTTCTCCCTGCTGGTTTGATCTTTATACCCGCAACCTTACCAGCAAAGTTACCAGAGATTGGTGGTGCATAAGACAAAAATGTCATTAATTTTCAACACGGGGAGATGCTGATATAATATGCTTTTTCATGAAACAGTTTCTGTCATTTCCCTTTGAACAATTGAGCTTTCTGCCAAAAAATTTTCTAATGTGCTTTCTATATTGTTGGTCAGTCATCCATTAACATTCCCACTGCCTTGTGAATTTTGTATAGGAAGGGGTCGAGGAAGAGGTGGCTACCAGACAGATGCACCTAGGGGGCGTTTTGGTGGTGGCAGTCGGGGATTTGGCCGGGGAAGTGGCTTGGACAGTAGTGAAAGGGACTACAACAGCAGACCAAGGGGTAATGGATTCCATCAGCGAGGTCCACGACAAGACAGAGGCATCTTGGGAAATCAAGTATCAAGGAATGGGCAGAACCCATCAGAGGCTACATTTTAGGTTTCCAACAAAGGAAAAGATAGAAAGGCTTTTGGGTTAGTTGTCTACAAGAACATTTTCTTCTTCATGGGGTGTTGGAGGAAGCACCACTGTTTTTTTGGGTGTGGGCATCTTTAAATTTTTTCTTTATGAAGTTCTTTTCATCATATTATTGCTCACTTCTAATTCAAGAGGGAAGGTTTTGGCAACATTGAGTTTTGTCCTTGCATATGTTCCTTAGTTTGGATCCTTTTCTCTCATATCTGGTCAATGAGGTTTTCTGTATTTTTTTGGGCTGTTAGCACTTTTTAAGAAGTAATTCCAGTTTAATTCGGCTGATTCTCAGATAAATGGTACGTTTGGTCAGGTTTGTGTTGAGGCTGCTTTTCATCTTTGAGCTTTGCTTTTCGCCTTTTCCATGTTTAAAACTTCACGTGTTTTTCTTATTTATTATTGCGATAGGGGTTGGGTTCATGTGACATCTTTTTCCTGCAAATCCAGATTTTGTCCTCACAAACTTGGTCCTCACACCGCCCTCACAACACTTGAGGCCATGCATTGGGAACATCTCCCCAGAACCAATTTTGTGAGGACAAAATCGGATTTTCTTTACCTGTACAGCTTGATCAAACATCTCAGACTCGTGCTATTAACTCCCGAGCTCTGCCTCTATACTTTTGAACATCTGATGATGTTCTGGCTTGTTTTCTGCGACCTGAAAACGCAATAGGTAAGTTAGGCGCCTCTGCCTACAATTCTACGAGGGATCACGGTTTCTTGGCAGTCAAAAGGCTCCAAGTTGAAGATATTCATACTCTTCAACAGAAAACAAAGACATCTCATTAGGGGCATATCGGGGTTCTCCTGATATGATATGTATCGGTCAATGCAGGTTGATGCTTGTCGGTTTTCTGAACCTTGAATCTGACAACACGGGCAGTAGATGATTAGATATAAGCTGGTATCTGAAAGTGAATTAAAGTGAGCCGGAGTCCCTGGACAAGAAAGTGGTTCAACCTTATTAAGAATAGGTATGAGGGTGGAACAACCGATGTTAGAACACCTATGGGAGAGACATCTGATTTTAAGATTATGATAGGTCTTCAGCAAGGTTCAATACTTGACACTTATTTATTTGCACTAATAATAAATGAATTGACTAAATATATTTAACAAGAGGTAGCATTTTACATGTTGGTTTCTAATGATATTGTTTTAATTGATATAACTAACGGATTAAATGCAAAGTTAATATGTAAATTTAAAAAAAAGTATGATTGAAACAAAATAATATGTAAATTTAAAAATAATAATTGGTATATAAATTAAGGGGTCCATTCTTTTTCTTTGGATTTTGAGAGGGGAGAAAGTTGGTCAATGGGATTTTGGTTCCCATTAACTAATATGCCCATGTTTTTTTTTGAGATTTATGTAGGGTCCATTGAAAATTTATTTTCCTTGGGTGTATTGGGGTTCAAAGTATCGACACGTATCGGTTGATATATATTGTTCCGAGACCCCTCCGATATGCCCCTACAATGGATGTATCGGGGGTCTGACCGACACAGGGGGTGGAGGAGCCCTAAACCGCCCCTTGAACTGGTTGCGAAAAAAAAAATAAAAAAAGCATCAAAAGCTGTATCAATTCGCCCGATACGCCCATACTGGCGTATCGAGCATATCGATATTTTGAACCTTGCTCCCATCTCATAGGTGGGTAAGTAACTTTTCCACCTGGAGGGAAAGTTGTCAACACTTGAATGGGACACAATTGCCCCTTTTAATAATGACTTTTTATAGACAAAAATAGTGCTTTTAATAATGGCTTTTTATAGACAAAAATAGTGCACTATACAATATTCACATGCTTATGAGGGGGGTTGGGGGTGCTTTTCACACATGCACATCGGACCGGGCCGGGATGTGGGCATGGGCATGTACACACATGCCATGCCTTATCTTTTTCTCCTCTGACTATTTGCATTCAAACCATTTTAACTATTTAATTTTTTTTTTATTTTTCTTTTGTGACTTCATTTTTGGCTCTATGTATCTCTTTAAAGAGGTTTCTTGAACACTGTTATGGAGAGACATCTCTCTTAAAGGACATTTCTATGTCCTTTCAATTGATTGAGAGCACTCTATAAATAGGGTGGAATGGAATAGAACACACACATCACTCTCTTCTTTATCCACCATTTGTAAAATATCTGAGCATCTTCCATTGGTGATTCGTGGAGGTCTAGTAAGCGAGTGCATGACTACTAGAAGTTTGTGGGTTCTTTCATCTTGGAAACCGATTTGCAATCACCTAGTTGCACCATAGGGGGCAAATGTGGTTTTAAGGAGAGTGACCAAGTGTCATGAGTCAACCCATTTTCAGACGACATTTTTCAATTTCTCATTACCGGTTTTGCAACATTGCTTGGGTTCAGAAAGCGTTGAACGATAAGTTCCATTATCCCTTCTAATTACTATTTTTACAATAATATTAAAACAATATTTATGGAACCTATCTCTTCTATCCATGTAATGGGAAATTGGATGCTGTTAACAGTTCTTGATTTCTCCAAGATTGAACCCTTTAATGGAACCAACTACATGTGTTGGAGACAATACCTTTTAGGCTTAGAATAGTTAGGGGTAGCCTTTGTTTTGGTTGAACTGAACTCAATAAACATGGAAGAACCCAACTTACTGGGTCACGACTGATCACCTATGCAAGAACCATATTTTGAATTGACTATCCAATGAATTATATAACGTTTACTGCTCATACAACTTTGCCTATGAAATTTGGAATGTCCTGGACAAAAAATATGATTTAGAATATGTTGGAAATGAAAAATATGTTATTGCCAATTTCTTGCATTTTACCATGAAAGAAAACATATATGTGTCTGGTTAAAAAGATGAGTTTTAGGAGCTTGTGGGGGGACTAGCAAAGGAAGGTAAAGTATTACCTAATGAATTTGTTGCCATTTCTTTCATAGAGAAGTTTCCACATACATGAAATGATTTCAAAACAAGTATAAAACATAAAAAGAAATGACACTACTTTGGATCAAGTGGTAGTCTGAATCAAAATAGAAGAAAATAATAGAAGGATCAAGTTGAGAAAAATCAAATTTCCAAAACCTACTTGGTGGAGGAAATGACTACAAAATTCAAAAGAGCTTAAATGTGAAAAATTACAAGAAGTTTAAGAAGAAACAAAAGAAAAGGAAGTGTTATGTATGTGGCAAATCCGAGCACTACAAGAATGAATACCATCACCTAAAGGACTTTAGAAAACCAAATGTCAACTTGATTGGGGTAAATTTTATTGCAACAATGGTAATCAAGGCAAACTTAGTTGAGAAACTGAAGGAGTATGTGTTGGACACTGGTGGGGACCATGACTCCTTTTATGAGTACACAATTCAGACTGAAGGAGAGCAAGTATTCATCGAAAACTAATAGACTTCGAAGGTCATCAACAAGGGAAAGGTATTTCTGAAACTGGCTTAAAAAGATCCTAATGCTGAATGATGTGTTGCATGTGCTAGAAATAAGACGAAACTTGGTGTCRGGTGCACTCCTAAACAAAGTAGGACTAAAGCTCACATTTGGAGTAARCAATGCTGTGTTGAATAAAAACAATGTATTCATTGGAAAAAGATATAATATTGGTGGACTGTTTGTACTGAATATTTTTGATATTATTATAAATAATAATGCTTATTCTTTTGCTTTTATAGTTGAATTGTTTGATATATGGCATGCTAGATTAGGACATTGTAGTGCTCTTTATATAAAACAACTATGTAAGTTGAGAGTTTTGAATGTTCCTATAGAATTTATAAGTGAAAAATGTTAAGTATGTGTAGAAGAAAAATTTACTAAAAACCATATAAAAGTGTAGAAAGAGAATCTGAATTACTATAATTTATACATAATGATTTAGGGAATCTTAAATTTTATGAAACTAGGGGAGGAAAAAGATATTGTATAACATTCATAGATGACTATTCTAGATATGAAAAAAGTCGTCTTACCTAGATCAAAAGATGAAGCTAAACAAGCTTTTATAAAATATAATATTAAAGTAGAAAATTAGTTAGTAAAGAAAATAAAAAGACTTAAAATTGATAGAGAGATTGAATATGATTGACAAATAATTTGAAGATTATTTGAAAAATTGGAATTATACATGAAACTACAACCCCTTGCCAACATGAATCAAATAGAGTCATAGGAACACTTAGTAGAATTTTAAAAGAAATGATGAACTTTGGAATAATAGAAAACTCAACCTAAACTACTTGAAAGTTGGGGGTTGTTTAGCAACAGTTAGAATATCTGAATTTAAAAGAAGGAAACTAGGACCTAAAACATGTGACTATGTGTTTATTGGACATGCACAAAATAGTGCAACCTATAAATTTCTTGTAATTAAAATAATAGTCTGTAATAGAACTAGGACCTAAAATATTGTAGAATACAATACAATAATTGAGTCTTGAGATGTAGTATTCTTTGAGCATATTTTCCTATTAAAAAATGGGAGCAATAAATAAAAAACCATGCCGAGTCTGTAATAAAAACCAAGAACAAGAATTAAATGCTCAAGAAACTAGTACTTCACATAGTCCAACAAATCTTGAATCCAATAATCAAGAGATATATTTAAAGAAAAGTAAAAGGCAAACTTTGGTGATGAAATGTTCATTTTTTTGGTGGGCAAAGACCCACTAACATACCGCTGGTGCAGTATTTTGGAAAGATGCAATAAAAAGTGAAATAGATTCTTTGATCACTAATCACACTTAGAAACTTGTGGATCTTTAACTTGGGACTAAGACACTAGATTGTAAATAGATATTTAAGAAGAAATTAAAGCCAAATGGTATAATAGATAAATTTAAGGCAAGATTAGTTGTTAAAGGTTATAAATAAAAGAAAGATATAGTTTTCTTTGATACATATTCCCCTATTATAAGATTAATTACAATTAGAGTCTTGCTTACTATAACACCTATATACAAACTTGTAATTCACTAAACGGATGTAAAAACAACTTTCTTAAATGTAGAGTTAGAATAAGAAATTTACAATATTAAGCAACTTGAAGGCTTTAAAGTACTAGGGCAAGAGAACAAGGTGTATGACTAATTTAGTCTTTATATGGCTTAAAACAAGTTCTCGAATAATGGCTTGGAAAGTTTTATAATGTATTAGTGACAAGTGGATATGTTAGAAATGATTCTAGTTTACAAAAGTTTGTAGATGATAAATGAATCATCATCCTTTGCTTGTATGTTGATGATATGTTAATAATGGGGACAAATCTAGATATAGTAAGAGAAATA